GGCTGAAACAAGCTTCTACCAACAAAAAGCCAAGGTCACATACATCATAGAGGTAGACTAGGGCACAAGATATTTTCACGCCATAGTGAAGAGGAATGTCACAAGAAATGCGATATCTTCCATCTCTTTGGCAGACGGTAGTCTCACGACATCCTCAGATCAAGTGGTTGATGAATTTGTAAATTGTTTTGTGGTATGTTTGGTACCAATACGACTAACCAAATTCTTGACCCTTTGGTCCAAGGAACTGGCCCTTTGATTGAACCAAGTGTTCATGATAGCCTACTTGCTCCAATAACAAATAAAGAAATTAGAGATGCTTTGTTTGATATTGGATATGATAAGGCACCGGCGCTGGATGGGTTTACCTCGGCCTTTTTTAAGGCCAATTGGAGTATTATTGGGGATGACATAGTCCAAGGAATCAAGGAGTTTTTTCATACGAGAAAGTTGCTTAAGCAGATTAATCACAATGTTATAACACTTATCCCTAAGACTAATCACTCCCCAAAAGTCTCGGACTATAGACCCATTTCTTGCACGAATGTCTTGAATAAATTATAACGAAAATATTTGCGGCTAGATTAACCCCATGCCTCCCGGAGTTGGTTAACCAAGTCCAAGGAGCTTTTGTGGATGGCCGCCTAATGTTTGATATCATTTTCCTAGCCCAGGAACTTGTTAGAGGATACAATAGGAAGCGAATCTCACCAAGATGCATGATTATATATGGTAGATTTGCCAAAGGCATACGACATGATTTCTTGGGACTTTTTTGAAAAATTTCTAATGGGATTGGGCTTCCCACCTACATTTATTGCATGGATTATGTAATGTGTTTCAACGGCCTCTTTCTCAGTTTCCTTGAATGGGTCGTTGTACGATTTTTTTAATGGTAAAAGAGGCATACGGCAAGGGGATCCAATGTCCCCATTGCTATTTGTGTTATGCCTTGAGTACTTTTCTCGGTTACTTACCATGAGAACCAAAGGGAATAATTTCAATTTTCACCCGAAATGCTCTGCATTAGGCATTACCCATTTGGCCTATATATGCAGATGACCTTATGCTCTTTCAAGAGGTGACACATATTTCATAGAAATATTGGTCAACACTCTGAAAGAGTTTGGGGATGTATGAGGCCTTAGGGTAAACCACGAAACATCAAATATTTTGAGCATAGTTGATTATGGGCAAGGTACATTCCCGATAAGGTACCTTGGAATTCCACTTGCCCCTCTTAAAGTTTCGGTCGCACAATATGTGCCCTTACTTGATATAATCAATGATTTTTTTAAAGCTTGGAATAAAAAACACTATCCTATGCAGGTAAAGTTGAGCTAATTCGATCAGTGATCCAAGGGGTCCAATCGTTTTGGCTCCAAGTCTTTCCGGTTCCCCAAACCATTTTGGATAGGATAGTGTCCATTGGTAGGATTTTCTTGTGAGGTGGCAAATATGTGAAAGTAACGTGGGATGACATTTGTCTTCCAAAAGAGGAAGGGGGTCTCGGCATTCACAATATGGGATAGTGTCCTTTCTCGCACATTATGGGATGTTCATAAAAAGAACAATACCTTATGGGTCCATTGGATCAATGGCATATACCTTCAAGGTAAAAGTGTGTGGAAATTCATCCCACACGGCCGAGACTCGCAACTCATGAAAAGATTGGGCCAAATTCGAGACAAGATACGAGGATGGTTTAACAACTTAAACGAAACCATAATGGGACTTGATGCTAGGAGCATTAATGGGAAATTGATTACGGGCAAGGTCTATGAACTCTTAAGAGTTAAAGGGACCCCTAGGACTCCAATGAGCTTCATTTGGAAATCCTATATCCCTCCCAAATTCTCGTTCAATGTTTGGTTGGCTTTGAGGAACCGACTTCCCACCCACGATAGCCTTGGTTACCTCCACATGGTTAATAGATGTGACCTATGCAAGGGTGGATTGGAAACAATTCCACACCTATTTTTCCTTTGTCCATTTACATGCAGGGTATGGGACAAGGTGAGGGCATGGATTGGATTTGGACACGAGATGAATACGCTCCTTAGTGCAATCAAATGGATCACAAAGACGCGCAAAGGAGCAACGATGAAAGCTAAGGCTGCCTCACTTGCATTTTGTGCCGCGATCTACTACATTTGGCATGCAAGAAATGAGACTAGATTTGATGAAGGCAAGAAGAAGAGGAAGTTGTTGAGCAGATCAAGCATGTGGTGTACAAGATACTCTTTAGCATCTACCCACATGACTTGATCAACTTTTGAGTGGAGTCAAGCACTTTTTGGATGCCACGGCATAAACTACAGTTCGGATCAGTGTGCATCCAGCTTGCAGGACCATTCATATTTTTTACTTTTTGACTTATTGGCTGCATATTTTTGCTCATAGTCCAAGTATTGACGTACACTAGGGACATGTTTGGCACAACTAGCTGAAAAGATACTTTTGTGAGCTTTTTAATAGCTGTTAGCTTTTAGTGACTGAAAAGATCTTAAAAAGAAAAGGTGGTAGCTGTTTGATAAAAAGCTGACTGTTTGATTTAGTTCGGTTTGGTATACAAGCTGTTAGGATTAATTAATACTAAAAGTCACTAGCTTTTCTTAGATGCTACTCCCGGTAGCATCTCAAAAAAGATCTTTTAATTTTTGAAAAGCTCTTAAATATTGTCATGTCAAACACACAACTAGAAGCTTTTAGGAACTTTTTGAACAGTACAAAAGCTAGAAGTCAGGGACTTATTCCCGCCAAACATAGCCTAGATTGAAAGCTTCTTCCAACCCTCTCCTTTTCTCATGAAATAGGAGGGGGTGGGGGGTTTTAGATTTTTGGACACATTGTACATGTTAATTTTGCTTGGATGTTAATATAATTTACATTTCATCCATACAAAAAAATTAGAAAATATTTACGAGAGTTTAGGGTACTGGACCTCCATTCATGAAGGGCACTCGCTGCTTATATGTATCGCTAAGAGTCGATTGACAAGATAATATATGAAAGCATGTTAGTTTGAGTATAAATGAGTATTAGTGGTCTTCCAAAGATTTCATTGTATTAGTGGTTATCCTTTCGTCGTTTTGATATTGAATCTAAATGAGTATAAACCCCTTGTATCAAATAAATCATTTTGAAATGGTGTAAGTGCTATGGTATTGTGAAATTGCATTAATGTTTTGAAATGTTGGGTCTGCATAATTAATTCCAAGAAAGTGTGATGTTTGATAGTGTTGTTACTTGTTAGATAGCAGCCGAAGTTTGTACGCGGTATACTATATAATGATTTTAAGTACACAATGTTAGTTGAAAGTGTGAATAGCCATGAGTACATACATCATGAAGCATGTCCCTGTACACTATATATTTATATAATGAGCTCAAAACAAACTCAATCAAGCCTTAAACAAACTAACTTACTGTTTTAGCTCTGCAAATGAGCTTTTATTGGTTTATACACACAAAACTATACACAGACACCAGCTTCTAGAAGGGAGGAAAATGAACGACATATCTAAACCACTTGTCCTCTTAAATTTTTTAAGAACAAGCAATGTCTAGTGTAACATAAAACTCCATATATATATTCCATGTAATTCTACATTTCTTATACCAATATATATATATATATATATATATATATATATATATATATATACACATTCCATGACAAAGGTTCTCTTTCTTCATTCAAATTATCAATTGCTTGACTATCACATTCATTCATCTTTCAAATAAAATGACAAAATGTTAAAGAAGATTTTACTAACTATGTATTCTAATTGAAATTACAAATATACGCAACAAAAATATATCCATATAATATACTTGCATTTCAGGATTTACATTTCCTTCTGGAATTAGCTATTAGGTGTGTTCTTTGCATCCTTTGTGTTTTTTTAGCTTTAGTAATTTGCAGCAGCTTGGAAATGATATATCCTCAACTTGTTTAATTTTGTATTTAACTACTCTAGCTTTATTACTATTGTTAACATATACTTTTCCCAGAAACGTGCTTAATAGAAAATCATTTAAAAAGATTACTAAAAAATGAAGGACTATCTAAAATTTTCTGCTCAAAGAATAGAAGAAAGAAGTTAAATGGTAAAATCCAATCGACAAATGGGAAAACTGAAATGAGACAAGAAATTATCCTATCTAAAAAGAACTGAAAAAACTAGCAATATAAACAACTCTAGCTTCACATATGAGTAATAGTAATGTATGTGCCTACACAAAAGACTCACCAAATGCAAAACTTCGCTATGCTGACATTACATAATAAAATGGATGAAACCCACTAGTAATTTCTTGATATACCTGTAACTGTTATCATAAAAGAGTAATAAAAGCACTGTACCAGTGTATCTACACTCAAGGAGCATGCAAAAGAAGCCCAATCATAGTTCCAGGCATTTCTTCAAAAGCTAGTATATTGTTTCTTAATGATATACGTATTTTTCTACAAGAACAAAATAATAACTCTAAATCCACTGCTGGTGAGACTCTTGTTTGTAAAGGCCATATTTTGTTCTACTTCCAGTTCCAGGCTAGGTTTTTATCTTCTAAACTGATGATTGGACTAAATAGGAGCATCAAATATAATTTAAACGGTTAACATACCACTGACTTCAGAGTCTTCCGTGAAAAACCTTTGATTTGGGCAATCTTGAGCGCCACTAGCAAATTGTAAGAGAATATATCTGCTTCGTTTCTACATGCGTTTCAGACTTCAGTCAGAATGTAGCACCGCCCTCATTTCCTTCTGCATTCGGAGAACAATTACCAGAAGTTGCCCCATGTGTTCACCATCATAGAATGAAATTTCACCAATTAATCTTGTTTCCTTATGCGTTAAGTTGCACCGTCACAACACAGGCTTGTTGTGGGATTGAAATGCAAATTAGTTCATCCTTAAATTAAATAATAATATTTTGTTTTGTTTAAACAATCCATGTGTAAAACTCTTATTTGTCCATCAAGGCAGAGGTACTGTGCCTTCATAATTATTAGATGCACGGTAGAAATTTCCTCACACTAAAGAGACTGAAGAAGTTTAAGCACAAAGAATAAACAAATGCATAAAATATCATATCACACAAACCAGTTGAACTAGTTATTATACAGAATTGGTCAAATGCATTATTGCACTGCATTACATTCTCAAGTACTAGCTATCAAATTATCAATTCACGAAACATTAGTTTTTTTGTCCTAGAGAAGACATACTTCCAGTTGTTGATTTGACCAGTCAATTGTTGTTTTGCCGTCTACCCCTCCCGCCTCTAAAACGGCCACCACCCCTGTGATTTGATTGCCGGCCACCGCGAAAGCTCCTTTGAAAGCTCCCAGGTTGATCAGAATTCCTAGGACGCTCCGGCGTGCCAGAAGGTTGCGACCAGGAATCTTTACCAGGTTCACTTTGAGGCGTTGCATTGTTAGGGAGCAAGACTTGTTGGCTGGGATTCATCATGGGTAAACCTTGTCCACCAAGTGGCGGTGGTTGGTTGAATATCCCAAAACTTGGCTGTCCACCAGGAGGTTGGGGCCAAGAATCATTACCAGATTCACTTTGAGGTGTTGCATTTTTAGGGAGTAAGACTTGTTGTTGGCTGGGATTCATAATGGGTAAACCTTGTCCACCAAGTGGCGGTGGTTGGTTGAATATACCAAAACTAGGCTGTCCACCATGCAACACAAAGTTAGTCGGAAACATTGGACCCACATTATTCATTGGTATATTATTACCCACAGGCATGTTGAAAAAAGGCTGGGCCCACTGCATGTTCATCCCAGGTAAGCCACCTGGGAAGGGCATCATCTGTTGTTGCTGTTGCGGTGGCATAGCAAAAGACTGAAACCAATTGTTTTGTGGCTGCTGCTGCTGCTGCTGTTGCGGCGGCATAGCGAAAGATTGAAACCCATTGTTTTGTGGCTGCTGCTGCTGATGCGGCGGCATAGCGAAAGACTGAAACCCATTGTTTTGTGGCTGCTGTTGCTGTTGCGGCGGCATAGCGAAAGACTGAAACCCATTGTTTTGTGGCTGCTGCTGTTGCGGCGGCATAGCAAGAGACTGAAACCCATTGTTCTGTGGCTGCTGCTGACATGGCAATCCTCCACCACTTGAAGGGGCACCACCGAAACCATGGAACTGTGCAGATTGAGTCGATGCAGGATTTGACCAATGACCATTGTTGGAGCCTTGAGTCTTGGTTTGGTCAACTGGAACACTAATGCTCCCGCTAGTAACATTTCCACCATCTATCACTTGATTATGTTTCTGATACATTGGTGGATTTCTTACCTTCTTCTTCTCCATTTTGTTCCCTCCATATTTGTGTTCATTTGTGCCCCTCTTTTTCATCTTCATCATCCTCTTGTACTCTGCCTCCTTTTCGTCGTCCGAAAACTCTCCCTCTTCTGATAATTCTTCGTCGTTTTCCCCAGATGCATCATAACCTTTCTTGTAGATACTTTTGTCGTTAAGGACGTGGTGTGCAAATTCTTGGACAAAAGAAACCACTGTTCCTTGCTGTATCCCAGCAGGCACTTCATCTTCGGAATTATACCTTACAATGTAGTAAGGGTTCTTGACGGGCCCAAAAATTTCATCAACTATCCCAAGCGGGGATCTGGTTTGAGTTATCCACAGGATTGAGCCCTCGTTAAGAGGACTGTGCTTCTCCACGCCTTCAACAATAACTTGAGCTCCAAGTATCTGTACCATATATAACATCCATGCAATGAATACAACTATACAACTATTTTCAATTAAGGAATTATAGGTGAATAATTTATTTATCTGTTCACCGTGGCCTTACTGAAGAAATGTTTCCAACGGGCAGGGTCTGGTGATGGGGTTGTATAGTCACATTAACAGGTGGAACAAAAGGAAGTTCCTGCAAAGCACATATAGTATTATGCTCAAATGTTCACAAAATAGGAATTGAATGCCTTCTAGAAATTCCACAAAAAAAACTAGAAAATATGGTCACTAAAGTCTCATGCATTCCAGTCTTTCTTTTCCTAGTAAATACTTTTGTGTGGGCTAGAAATAAATACTGATTTACAGGGATCATGCTAATAAAACTTTATAATCTGGATTATTTAAATGAAAATTAGATTGGTTTTATTGACCTAAAACATTCATTTATATAAATATGAAGATGTTTTAGGTCAATAAAACCAATCTAATTGATATTTAGAAAATTGAGAGTCTACACGCAATGTGTTGCAAAACAAGAATGAAACAAAATCAAGTATTCAACTGAAATCAAAATCCTGGCGTGTTTGATTCATAAGAATTTAAAACTATTCTAATGTACTTTGTCATTACCTCAAAGACTCGATTTTTATATGCAAGGCATACTTATAAAAGTAAACACGTGAGATTCTGTGATAGTTTGATGGAATCTTTTATGCGGCTTTAAAACTGATGGTTTTGTGCGGCTATAGAACCGATGTAATCATTGAAAAGAAGTAAAAAAAACTACTTCTTAATGTTCTTATGTATGGCAGTATGGTTAAGTATTAGTTCCAGCAATGACTATCAAGATAAAGCCAAATATTCATTGTTCCGGCTACAATTCCATGAAAGTACAAAAGTTAACCAAAATGGGCATTAGTGTATTTAAAATTTCAAGCTTCATTAGTGCCCAAGAGATGTAGTCCTGAACATACCAATTTTTTTTCCTAGAGAGAACTGAAAAACGAGAAATCATTGTTATTTGATGATGATGATGATGGTGGTGGTGTTTGTGTGTGGCTGTGTGCATGAGAAACCATTTTTCTGTTTTATTATTTTGAAGTGTAATGGATTGCTTTCTTATTTGGTGTACGATTTTTAGACACAAGAAGAAACAATATATTTTCACAAAGGATCTTAGAGGTGTTATTAATAGAGGTCGTTGATCTGGCTGACCCGTTGGGTCTGGGTTAAGCTTTGACCCAGTAATTTGTCCGGGTCACATGGTCAGGTTTTTACAACATAGTAAAAAAGTGCTAAAGAATTTTTATAATAATGAAAACACAGTCTATTTTACATTTAATGCTCATTAACTTTGAAAAAAAATGATAAAATCTCCTGGAGTTTGAACTCGTTGAGTATTATTTTGTGTAGTGGACATGTAGAGGGTGTGTTCGTTAATGAATAGAAAATGAGAAATAGAGTCAAGGCAAGGAAATATCTAGATAGTCAATGTTGGGACAGAGACATATCTAAAGTCTAAAGACTCTAAAATATCTGATTAAAAAAACACATACCTCATCTATGTTTTCTATTAATAAAAACACTCATTTTAAAAATGCTAGAAAAATGAATTCTGATGTTATGTCCACCTATATACAAGCAAATCTCTTTATGTTTTTGAGAAACAGGCTCAGTACTCCGGGGGTCACGGGTCATGAAAAGGGCAGTATAGTTTTGTTGTTTTTAAACTGCGCGGATACAAATGGAGCAATAACAATTTGTAAATTCTAAAAAATCAAAAGGGCAACAAACTGATATGTACAAGCACTTTTTTAAAAAATTGGGTTGTAACTTGTAAGTGTGGCAAATTTTGAATGGACGAATCAAAGTGCATGAAAAATTGCAGTTTAGTTTGGATGTTTTGTTAATTGTGCTGATATGAAAAGCAATATGGGGTAGTTGTTTAAAATGCAGTTTCATGCCTAGCAAACTTTATAATAGTTACAAAGTGCAAAGAATTTTATAGTACTGGAAAACACCCTGCACTTCTATTAACTTTTGAAAGAAATGGAAAAATATTCTTCATATTGAGACACTCAATATGAAGAATATTGATCTCCTTCATTTAAAAACAGCCTGTACATTAAATTGTGATGGTCTTACTCCTACATATAAAATGAAATTTCCGTATTGTATTTTTTTCTTTCATGTATATGTCATGTGTGTTGCTCGTCATACCTAATTTGTCTTCCAGCTGTTTTCTTTTCAAGCAAGGTCTTTATTTATTAGGTAATACTATTTTCATATGCATACAAACATGAAAAGAATGGACTTATAATAAAGTACTATTTTCATATACCTGGAACAATAAAATCAAAAAAATGTAAAATGCAGAAGACTCGTGAATGAGTATGAAGTTATGAAATTATAAATGTCCAATGACTTATGTTTGCCAATTAATGTAAGCATGACAGGTAATTTTTTGAACAACATGAGAGGCATTTTATCAAACATTATGTAGGCATTAAGTAAGAATAATTGTAAAAATCCCAAAACCAACACTTCATATCCCCCAAAGTTGTTCATCCAGGAGCAGCGTTTAAACAAATGATGAAATCAATACTGTATGAGTGATAAGATCAGTTAATTTACATGAACAAAATTCACTCTAGGGAAAAAACGTATGTTTCAGAAATTTAAATAGAAATTGCCCCAAATAGGAGTAAAAACGTTTTGAAATTCCAAAATAGGACTATCATGTTTTTTATTCCCTGAATAGGAGTAATCTGCCAAGTTTGGAAAAAAATATCATGTTTAAAGCCTAGTAATGCCATACTTGGCAGAAATTTACTCCTATTCAGGGAATAAAAAACATGATAGTTCTATTTTGGAATTTCAAAACGGTTTTACTCCTATTTAGGGAATTCTCTCAAATTTAAATAGCTTAAAGTACTACAATACAAGAAGCATAAACCAAGCATTCCAGCCTAGCTAGTTGCGAGGTTACCGCGCCTAGTGAGAGGTCTCGAGTTCGAAACGCGCTAGGCACATAAGGGGCTGAAACTCAATGGAGTGAGTTTCAGCCTCTATTACTCCAGGCTCCCCCAGCCCCCCTCCCCCAGACCCCCTGGAGTAAAAAAAATAAAATAAAAAATAAAAAAAGAAGCATAAAATTAGAATAGAGGAGGTGAAGGGAATACCATATGTAAAGAGATATTTTAGCAAATGGAAATGCTTAGAGGAAAATGGTGCCATCGGGAGAATGTACTATTCTTGAGCAGAGGTTCCTACTTTCAAGGCTATTTAACACATTTAAATGGGCGCGTTCCCATTGTTGAAAGTAGCGTTAAGTTTTAACTAACTCCGTTACATGCTTAGACGGAAAAAGGACTACACTAACCATCAATATTTATTTTAATATTACAAGTAAGATAATATGTAAAATATAATCAACGTTATATATCAATTATCAAAACAATAAAAGAATTTGTTAACTAAAATCTGAAATTAAGATCAAAGAAGCATCTGTGATTAAAGAATAATATGATAGTATCTAAACTGAAATTAAGATTAAAGAACTAAAAGAAGCACCTGTGATTAATGAATAATATCAATGAACTGAAATTATCAAAACGATAAACAACCATGTACTTAGTATTACTAAAATTAAGATAAATGTAGAATTAACTTTCTATATCAATTATCAAAACAATTACAGGATTTATTGACTGAAGTTAAGATTAAAGAAGCACCTGTGATTAAAGAATAAATAAATAATACTCCGTATCAATTATCAATTAACTAAAAGTATCAAAAAACGATTGACAGCCATATTACTAATGAAAATAATTGAAGTCAAAACATAGAAGAAACGTGTATGATGAAGCAATCGAAGTATTAAGCAACCTGGGGGAAGACTGTCGAACGAATAAATAATTGATGGAGAAGAACACTTTCCGCAACCACGTTTGACGCAGGGTTAAGCAGCAGCGAAGGGAATAGCGTACACACAGTGACGCAGGTAGGCTGTCGCATTTAAAAAATAAAAATAAAGTGGGCCCAACTGTTAAGGCGGTCGACTCACCTCGCCTTGAAGCGCAATACGCATAGCGTACGCCTCTGTGCAATAATGCGTACGATTACAGACCTCCGCCTTTAGCAATGCAATAATCCGCCTTTCTCTGTGAAGTAACTGTTGCGCGCCTTATTGTGGTATTGCATGGTGCAATTTTAAACAATGCCTAAAACTAATGACCTTCTTTCTTTAACTAATGATATTCAAGACAATTACATTAACATCACATGTAAAAACAACGATAATGGTTAACTATTACCTGTTCGGGCAGGTTTACATCAGCCAAACTTGAAAGAACATCTTCCCTGGACTTAAATATTAGTGTTTACAACTTACAAGTTAATCATATCTTTACAGCCTCACTTCTTAAGTAAATAAAATGTTGTAATAGTTTATTAAAAGGTTGGTTTAATTTGCTACAACATAATAACAGGGATCCAGGTGTCTCATATTCTAACATAAAAACTATAAATAAAACTTAAGCATAAGTTATTTAGAAGCATATGCACAATTAATAAGCAAACAAAGATGCAATTTTCCACAGCTACGAAGTTATTGTAATGGAATGCAAAGAAAATATACCTGAAGCTCATTCTTCGACCTTATTGGGCCCTTTGGACCACTGCCTTCCACACCATCATCATCATCACTCCAAGCAACCATATCATCCGAAGTACATGCTAGAATCTCGCCTTCTTCAATTTCGGAAGCCCTCTTATTGATGATATTGACTCCTTTCTCATCATCATCATCATCACTACTGGAGGCAGACGAAGAAGAAGACAAACTGTCTCTATCACATCCAGAATCAGAATCGGACTCATCTTTGCCAACAATCCTTGATCCATTAACCATTGCTTCTTTCTTGTCTCCAGTGTTAATGGTAATAACTTGTTCATCATGATCACTATCATTGCTCTTGACACCATGAGAATACATATCTTCAGTAATTCCAACAACCGCCTCCCTAGTCATAGCTTCAACACCCTCCTTCACACTATATGTGCCGTTCAAATTAACTTTTCCCATCTCCTTCTCAATCACACATCCCAACTGCCTCACCTTCTCATCTCCACAATTCACCACTACCTCCTCTTTGACTTCCTCACCACAATCTATCTTTTCAGCTTCCAAATACCTTAATGAGCCTATCTTTTCTTTTTCCTCTGAATATTCTACCTCTTCACCATCAACATTGACAGCAGACTGCATACTACGTGAGTCCGATTTCTGATCAATCAAGTCCTCAGTCACACAGCCCAACTCCCCCACCGTCTCATCTCCGGAATTCACCACTATCTCCTCCTTAACTTTAACTTCCTCACTATCATATATCTTTTTAGCTTCCAAATAGCTCAATGAACCGATCTTTTCTTTGTGCTCCGAATACTCTACCTGTTCATGAGCTCCATCACAGCCAAATACGCTATCAACATTGACAGCAGACTCCATACTATGCGATTCAGATCCCTGATCAATCCAGTAGTTTAAATTATCAAAATCAAGGAATGAGTCGGCAAAAGAAATTGAGTTTTCTTCCAAGTCTAAAAGCAATTGTTCGGCAAGCAGGTCACTGGCTTCCACCTGCTCTGGATCGCGTTGAGTTTTAGGTTCTGAATATTCCTCTCCACCAGTGGGACTGCGTAGAATCCCTACCATGAATCTATGATTTTTTTAGAAAGTTTTGAGGATGGACAGGCTAACAGTTGATTTTTAAAGAAGATGTTCAAACAGAAACAAGAGGAAAAGGGAACGAAAATAGTGAGGAAAAAAATGAAAATCTAGGAACATCATTGCAATCAGGGACGGCCCTGTATATCTGAAGGCCCAGGGGGAGAATAATTTAAAATGGGACTAAATTTAAAAAAGAAAATTGTATAACTCGTTTCTGACTAAATTAACATGCAAAATAATAGTATTTGAAGACTTTTATAATAAAGAAAACACTTAGAATTCGTTAAATTAAACATAGTCAAATTACATTTTCAAAATAACCAAATAAAAATTACTTAAATACATTGCTTGCTGAACATTGTGAAGTAAAGTCATCACCTATAGCTTCATAATCAAGCTTTTCTAACACATTATGCTCAATGCTTAATATAGCTAATCCATTAAGCCTTTCTTGACACATTGTTGATCGCAAATAATTTTTGAGAATCTTCAACTTTGAAAAACTTCTTTCCGCAATGGCCACAGTTTTACCGGTACTGTCAATAGTATCCTATAATCAATTGTTGTGTTCGGACAACAATCCATAACCTTCACAAAATCAATAATTTGAATGATAGTGTCTTTGTCATTCGGTAAAACAGTTTGCAACATTTTCCATTTAACCTTTTTTTACTTAGGGCAACATTATCTATTCTTCTCTTCTTCATTTTTTTCTCCCATCCAGATACACCATTTTTATTAAATCTTGAAATTAGTTAAATTTACAAATTTAATTATTGTTGAAAATTTTTACCTAACAAAATGAACAAATTATAACACCAACACTCCATAGGTAACAATCAACAATTAAGTGATTAACATGTAACAAATGACAAATCAACTAATTATTTGTCAACTATTCAAAATCATTTATTTATAAACATTAAACAACTATGAATTAAATCAATTTATCAATTAATAAACTGGTCACATAATCGTTTGTTTTTATTAATCAAATAAATTAATAAAAGAAAATGTTAATTTTTAAAAGCCGGTCACATAATCAATAAAAGAAAATGTTAAAAAATGTAGTTTTGTAAAAGTGTAAAACAATGGCCGAACTTCTGAAGCAGGTTGGAACTCCGAAGGTCAAAGGTGTACCTGAATACCTGATAACCAGAAATCTTGAAGGCTTGGCGAGTTGGAGCTGGAGACCTGGAGTGCTGGACGCCGACGTCGAAGGCTGAAGCTTGAAGGCGGAACGGAACCGTCAACCGCAGAAGGCTGCCTGCGTGAGTTACAGCAGTGGTGGTTTTTATTTGGGCTTTTGGACTGGTTGGGATGTCTTTAGAGCTCCGGAGAGCCGGCGGCGATGTCAAGCACCGACTGCTAGGGCGAGAGCAGAGAATTAGCGACGAGAATTTGAGGTCTTCGGAAAGTATAGGGTTTTGGGTTTATCGACCTATGTCCTAAAATCCTAAAATAGCAAAAAACAAAATCCTAAAATAGCAACAGCAAAAATAGCAAAAAAAAAAATCTTTAGCTCAATCAATGATCATCCATAAAAGAATATTAATGATATGCGATAAGATATGTATGCGATAACTTTGAATTTCTATAATTCATGATGATCACATAATCAAGTGTTTAATATATAAGGCAATATGAGTTACACAACAACTGATTATACATTCCGATTGAATCATTACAAATTACAATAAACAAAATATGGGAAAAGGTGCAAATAGGCCCATGTACTAATCAAAAAAGGTCAAATAAGCCCTTATTTAGGAAGTTCTGTCCGGACGTCGTCATTTCAGGTGGTTCCCGGTGATATTTTTTGATGAAATTTTTTGAGCATCTTATTCATTAAGTCTAGTTTACTCATACCAAATTTCAGCTAAAACTTCAATCGGGAAGGCATTCAAATGAATTCTTGAAAATAACTGCGCAATTAGAAGCGCAGTTATCTTCAAGAATTCATTTGAATGCCTTCCCAATTGAAGTTTTAGCTGAAATTTGGTATGAGCAAACTAGACTTGATGAATAAGATGCTCAAAAATTTTCATCAAAAAAATCTACCGGAAACCACTCCAAATGGTGACGGCCGGGCAAAGCCTCTTAAATAAGGGTTTATTTGACCTTTTTTGGTTAGTACATGGGCCTATTTGCACCTTTTCCTACAAAATATTACTCCCTCCGTTCTTTTTTATTAGTCTCCTTAGACTTTGGCACGAGTTTTAAGAGTAAAGTAGTAGGGGTAGTGTAAAAAGGTGTAATGAGTAGTGGATAAATGAAAAAGTAGGAAAGAGAAAGAGGTAATGGTAATAAAAGTGGGGGTATAAAGGTATATTTAAAGTAAAAACTTTCCTTAAATGGAAAGGAGGACAGATAAAAAAAAATGTCCCAAAAAGGAAAGAAGGATTAATAATAAAGAACGGAGGGAGTAATTGAATAAGTAATATTTAATTTTTAATATTTGTGATTGTTCTTCAAAAAAATATTTGTGATTGAATGAATTAAATTTTAATTCATTCATTTGGAAGGATTATTTTATTTGATAAAATTAATTAAATGTAATACATTATATTCAACTTATCATACTAAACTAACATGTATTTATGACTAAATAAAATTGATATTTTATTGAGAGCGATTTTTGTTGGTCCCTACGCCAAGGAACCTAACAATTTGGAATTAGATATATACATTCCTCCCAAATTCATTTGCAAAGTCATTTTTTATCAAACAACTTCATTTTATTCACTTTATTAGTATATCAATTTTTAATTATTTTCTAATTTGGATTTTTCAACTTAATAGAGACTTTAATGTAGTTTCTAAATATGTAAATTTTAATTACTAAAATTGAATTAAATACCGATGGGGAAGACTTAACTTTAACATTAATTGACCAACAAATATTAACTTTACAAATCAATTTGCTATGGGTGGGTATATACCACCATCAAGGCACACAAGAAGATGTTCTTACGCATGACAAACTACTATACACTGCAAATTATACCGTGAGATTGGCACACAATGCACATGTTGTGCTGGTCCCACATTTATCTTCAAAAAATCATTTGTCTGCCTTCTCGGTTGAATTTTTAGCTGAAATTTGATATCAGTAAACTAGACTTAATGAAGAAGATGTTCAATATATTTCATCAAAAAAATCCACCGGGAACTGTCCCAATTGGCGACGGCCGGGCAGAACCTCCTATATAAGGGGCTCATTGAACACTTTAAGTTAGTTCAAGGGCCTATTTGACCCTTTAGCCTACATCTTTTTATGAGTTAGTTACATCTTCTTATGCGCAAGGTACATTTGGACTCGATTCAACAATTTACATTTTGCAAACACCTAAGTTAAATTTTCATCAACGCGAGTTACACCTTTTATAATACGAGTTACATCACAAAATAAATTCATGCTATTGAAATAAAAACAATATTTTTTTCAAAAAAAATGGCAATTGTTTTTTGGGAAATAAAAGACTTTTCTTTTAAACATTTTTATGGCATTAATATTTAAAACAAAACATATTCTCCATTTACGTAAATTAATTGAGTTGTTAGACTCCGTGTTTTCATTGTTTGCATTTGATAGTATGTGAAGTTACATCTTTTTATGTATGAGTTACATCTTCATGTGCGCGATTTACGTTTGGACTTGCATTAACAAGTTACATTTTGCATACATCTAATTTGGATTTTCCATCAATGCGATTTACATCACATAATAAACCACTACTATATATCAAAAAATCATATCATTTTTTGCAAATGAAATGATTTTTTCGCCAATTTTTTTAAAAAAACACTTGTTATGGCCTTTATATTATAAATATAACATATTTACTGTTTATGTAAAATAATCGAAATATTAGACTCTTTGTATAATGGTTACAATGAATTAATGTTTTAGTTCTTATACTTAGTATTAGACATGTCACATTTTGACTTGTATGCAGTTAAATTTCTTATCAGTATGAGTTATATTCTGCATGCGAGTTACATCACCATGCTAATGGAACTAGAAAAAAAAGTTATTGATCACACATGTTACTTTTCACGATTGCTTTGGTTGTGAGAGAACCACGCTCACCGTGGGCTGCTCCCACGGTATAACAACACAAACTATACGAAGTAAATTGTTTCTCTAAATATGATAATCTTCGAATTCCTTATATAATTCCTTTTTATTTAATAATGATATGTACCCAGGTGGCGGAACCAGGCACTAGGCTGAATTGGGGACCGGTACAAAAAAAAATTGAGAAAAAAATTATACAAAATTTTTTACATTAAAAATATTGACATTTTTTAAAATTGAGATGGGATAGGGCCTAAGCTACCCCCCCCCCCCCACCTATGCCTCTGCCCCTGATACTACTTTCACCTCATTTTAGTTAGTCATTATTGACTTTTCTAATCAATGATAGTACTCTTTGGTTAATTATTTTAACACTTATATTTAGTGAAAACTGAAAACTAATAATTGTATGCTTTTATGATGTTATTTTTAACAAAGAGCATTTTCATTTCACATTCATATTTTAAATATTTCACATATAAATATATTATGGGGAATTTTGAGCGCACCCCAATTTTTGGGTGATATTGGACTTTGCACCTCATTTTCAAAACTTTTTTACTTTGCACCCTATCTACAACATTTTGTGAAGAAAAATTGGTGAATGGGGTGCAAAAGCAAAGACATTTTAGGGGAAATAAGGTTCAAAGACTAAGAGTTTTGAAAATAGAGTGCAAAGTCCAGTATCACTCAAAAAACGGGTTGCAAAGTCAAAATATCTCATATATTATTGGTGAAAGTCTATCATCTTTTATTGGAAAATCAAAGATGACTAACTAGAATGAAATAACGGGATTCTTATTTATATGAGTATATGAATAATAGATAGGTCTTAGAAAAAGAATGTTTTTATCAAAAATATTACTCTAATGAAGCTTATTTACAATAATATGATTAATAGTTTTTTTTTTGCTCGAATATGATTAATAGTTACTATAATACAATCTCATAGTCACTTAAAAGTTAAAATTGAATGCACGTAAATTATTTGATTAAAGCTACTACTGTAAGCACTACACTTAGGATGTCATATTTTTTCAGTCTCTATTTTAATTGTATAGATGTAATTATTTTTAGATAAAAAAACACAATAATCATGTTTAAATTGAGCAGTTATTCCATGTATACATATCATCCATGTATATATCATCCCATAATTATTTTTTGAGCAATTTTCCCATGTATATATTATTAATATATAAATAAATTGTTCAATATAGGACTAAAACATATACAAAGTTCAAAAACTGGGTTAAGTATTTTTATTCCCTAAATAGGATTTATATCGTAGTCCTATTAAAAGATTAACATGATTAAGATATGAGTGAATGGATCCTATTTTAAGAATAAAACAAAGAGAGTCATATTTATATATGAAATTGATTTTTGTTTTAATTCTATTTAGGAAGTTTCTCATATATAAATATATATATCGTCCCTCTATTTTTTATACGGAGTAGTTACTTTTTGAGTAAGAATCATCTGTTACTTGCTTCAGTGGCTTGTGTGTACTTCGGTAGAACATGTGAATTGCTATATACGTCAAATGCTAAATTGAGAATAATGAGGTTTAAAAAATAGGAGTAAAACTTTTGAAGTTTCAATATAGTATTATCACTATTTCTCTCTAAATATGAATAATTACAATTGCAAAATACAATCTATATATATAGTTTGATAATGTAAAAACATATTAATAATTACTCCAACACACTTTGTATTTAGACATCCTAGCTTTCACAGCAAAAAATGAACTCTTGACATGCTAGCCCACCAGCATGGCAGCTAGCCATCCTTAGTCCCATGTTCGGCATATACTAACATTAATTAATAAAGTACTACATACTCCAATGATTTTCATCATTTTCACACTATTTACTCCACTTTTTTAAAGAGGACACTCCATCTCCGAGAGCCTCACACTAGACCAGTTAGCAATTCCGGACAGTTAACTCGAAAGATGTAAATTGGAATTTAATTTTAAGTTGAAAGATAGCTAATAGGGCTTTGATTCATTTACTTACAGAGGTTCAATCAATTTTTACATAGTAACATGCATGTCCTATTATATTACTCCACATACAGTGTAGCTACTTGGTATGTTTATATGATCTCAAATGGACAATTAAAATTAGGGAAATTTATAGGGATATGACTAAAACTCAAGGAGTTTCTCAATTTATAACCTAACTAGTTTTTATACCTTTGTATGACTGAAAATCCAAAAACAAATAGAAAATTCGTTTATATTTAAATGTTGAATGACAAAAATACCCTTATTTAAAATATGTGCATTGTGCACTAATTTCGTCCAATTAAAATTATTACACTTTATATTGCCGTTAATGCACAACATTAATGCATAACAT